GGCGGGTACGTTGTAGTCACTTCCTGTTCCGGCTCTTTCACACACAAAGGCTTTTGAGCATACAGTTTAGTGCAGGGTTTTTCAACCTTTGTTGAGCAAGGCACACTTTTTTCACTGAAAAAATCTTGCGGCACACCTCCAGGAGAAAAATGTAAAAATGTATACAGTACTAATGTAAACCCATATTATGTTCATACTCTGTGTGATATATAAAAATATATCTTATCTTATCTGATAATGTATTCAGTATACTCTGTAGCATATATTCACAATAAACAGTTATTCTCATCAAAAGGCTTAGTCTAGGCCTTGACTTTAAGCTTTATTAAATATTTCTCAATACAATACAAGATTTGGGAATAAAGTGGCACTAACTGTCGGGAAAAAAACTAAGAAATCCACTCTCTGCCCAAATAGTCATATAATAACTCAACAAAGAACATGCATTGTTAGTGCATGGAAAAAATTTAGGATACGAGCTTTAAATTCAGGAGTTTTGAATGGGGACACGGAAGGTCCTGAACGCGAGTCCATGGTTCTGTACGGTCAGCATGTCTGTGTTCTGTCCACTCGACTATGTCTGCGCTCGGTACCCAGTTTCAGAAGTGCGTTCGCGAGAGCTGTTTGTACAAAAATTGTCCTTTTCATTGTTAACCCTTTAGGCGCCAGAGTTTTTTTCAAGAAAAATATACAATTTTGATTTCAAGATTTCAAAAGGCTATACTTTAAAATGGTTTGAGTTAAAGGCCTTACTGTAACTTTGAAATATCTGCAGTTTGAACCAAACTTTGGGATGGATGTTGATTCCGTCATCTAATTTGCCATATTGTGAAGTCATCAAGCGTGGCGGCCACTTTTGGAATATGTTAATTATTGTATAAAAACTTCAAAAAGCTGCCTAGCTTGGGGAGTTTTTTTTTAGAACAGGGAATACTATTGAACATCAGTGTGAAATATTTAGTATGGAATGAATTGGGATAGAAATAAATTCTCTGAATCAGAACTATAGATAATGTTTTAGCACTGGTTCGCGGCCATACGGGAATTGTGATTATTTTCTAAGACCTTCAGTGGATCAAGCAGCTCTCTTTTAGTTTACAGTCATGAAATCTGTGTTGGTTTCATATTCCCTTTCAAAGAAGTGGTGGGCTTACTATTTTTCTCGGTGGAAATGAGGCTCCTGGATTTGATGGTTTAGAAACAGAGAGATGAAAGAAAGGGCTCAGAACATGTCAGATCGTCTCAACAAGAAACAAACAGGTCTACAACACTTCTGGGTCCACTTTTGTGATTATTTTTCTCTCAAGAACGCCTTGATCCTCATCATCGCTGTTAGTAAAGGCTGTGAACGCGAAAACAAAGGGCCATTTTGTTGTTTTTTTACCCGCAGGTCTCCCGCGACTTCTCCCGCGTCTCCCGTGTTCCCCGTGGATGTCTACCCCCGCTACTTTCTCCAACATGCACGGTGTTTTGATGCCCTGTAACCTCGACCCCGGCCCTGCCTTGGCGTTCACAGAATGCTTCTACCGCGGCACACGAGGACAAGCTGCCCTGTACGGGGCTGGATTGTGGGACTATGTGGCGCGGTCTCCCCGTCACTAATAATGTCGTGTCTGCTTCACTGGCCACTGTGTGTCTTCCTCCTATGAATCTCAGTGAGCCACTCCAGCCAAGTTACTTCTCTGGTAACTGAAGCACACTCTGTAGTAAAAGAATAAACCCTCTTTCCCTATGCTCTGCTCTCGCTCCGCTCAGCTCTACCGCTGCTGCTTCGCCCCCGCGCGCTGCGCCGCAGGTGTTTTACGAAACTCAATTTACTCAAAAAAAACTTTCAATATAACCACACCACACAATGTTGCTCAATTAAGGCACACATGTCCCTCTTACCCCTGGTGAAAAGTATTTAACAAGATTTCTGCACCACATTTTTACATACAGCCTGTTTATGTGTGCTATGTTGCTTGTCGCAATATTGCGATCTTTGGGCTAAAAGGGTTAAACCACTACACGCGCCAACAGCTTGCCCCGGGGCAGAGGCGGAGGATGTTAATCTGTTCAGAAAAGGCTAATTCATTTTCCAAAAAAGGTCTCTATCTCTTTCACTTCTCACTCGCCACAAAAGCTCTTGGTCTAGCTCCCTCCCACATTTGTTGGTCGCATCACAATTTACCTTTCTCGCCACAATGCTGACCTGTTACAGCCTGTGGTCGCATCCTATTTTACAGTTTCAAAGGAATTAGATATCTGCTGCCATCTACTGATTTGAAAAAGTATTACATGGTTACTCCACTGTTTCAACAAGTCACCGTCGTCAACAGCGAATGCAGTTATTTTAGACGAAGTTCTCTCGGCACACCAGACAATATCATACGGCACACTAGTGTGCCGCGGCACAGTGGTTGAAAAACACTGGTTTAGTGAGATGTATTAATATAATTGTTTAAGGCACAAACACTTTCAAAAGACATTGTGACTTCACAATTCAATAAAGATGAATGACAACAGAGATGCAGGTTTACATTTGGAGCATAGATGATTTACGTACACTTTATGTTTTGAATGTGTGTAGTCCTTTGTTGCCGCTAGGGGGCGCTAAATAATCACAGTCTTAAGAGTACAAAATCCCCATTTACAGAGGCGTCCTCCCCTGTGGTGAGGACTGACGCGTGAATGTCTTTGTGCTTGTCTGTTCGATGGGGAAGACAGTGGTCACTGTTGGGACACTGTGTGCTTTGATTTAATTTAGAGAGCCATGGTCAGTGGTTAGGTGTTTGGCAGCGGGCTGGTGGTCAGAATCTTATCCTACAGTCCCCCCCACGAAGTGGACTGTATACTCACGACGGGAACATCCAGGTCGTATTCGCTGAGGGGGTGGCGGCCCTAGTTGGGTGGTATCGTCTGCTGGGTGCTGCTGGAGTGGAATTTGGGTTGATGCATCTTCTTTAGTCATGACTCAAGTGTATTCTAGTGGAGATTGAAGACGGCAAGAGTGAGGAACAAACATTGAAGGAGATTAAAACAAAAAACCTTTAAGATGTAAAAAATCAAAATAAAATAAGATTTACAACATAAATATAAGTTAAAAAATTCAAATAATGGGTTGTAACCTTGGAGTATCCTCTTGAGGTGAGGAGAGGTGAGAAAGAAAGGGAAAAGTTAAAAGCCATAATAAATTAAGGAAACAAAATACAAATAAAAGTAAAAGGGGGTGCCTAGGTGGTGTTTTAGGTTTTAAAGACAACTCACCCTCAAATCACTGTTTTTTGGGCTGATATACGGTATAAATGAGTGTTCCAATAGTGTTGTCTACAATATCCTGAGTCATAATTTTGCCTTTGGTGCAAATGAGTAGAAAGTTAATACTTTCTGCACTAAAAAGTCTGTGAGGCGCCATCTGCTGGCGACCTTGTATTACTACATTTGATTTTGAATCTGGCGCACCACTGGTCGCCCCGGGCTGCAAGACCTGACGTCTGAAGCAAGGACCTGACGTCAGCAGCCCCCCGCGCCCAGGCTATATTAAACGCCCAGTCTCGTTTCACGCCCCCTTTAGTCCTCCAGGCTACGGCCCATTTAGGAGGAAGATTTGAACAGGAAATGTGAGTGACGTAAGCTCCGCGGAGCCGGGGGGTGAGACCACTTTAAGGTCGTTTTGTGACGTAGCTCGAGTGAGGAGAGAGTGCGGAGTAAAAGGACATTACTTGTAAGCACACATCTATGGGAAGGCATTTGTTTTTGGTTAAATTGAATTATTTAGGAAAAGGGTTTATTTTGTAGATGCCGAGGGGCTTGGTGACCCTAGGATCTCGGACCGTGGTTTTGGCTGGGTTTGAGCCAAGGTTTTGGTTGGGGAACAGAAATCGGGGAGTACCGTCTCAACTCTAAATCCCCAGCGGGTCTTCATACTCTGGATGCAAGTCTGATGTCACCTGTGCAAGCCTTTGTGCTACAACGTTCTTACTTTGCGCAGACCTGCGTCTTGTTCAACGCGCCTAAGGAGTGAGTCTATTGGTTTTCAACACATGTGGACACGCTCATGTTAAAGGGGATGTCCACGGTGGCAAACCACCAGAGGAGTTGCATTCGGATAGGTGGTGTTGAGTACTATTATAGTGACCTTGAACCTCCTATCTGCTCCGGAGTGGGCTGTATGTTCTGTGGAGTGTAAGAAGAGTTTTAGAGTTTGACAGTCAGGTGGTAAGGTCTTTGGTTGGTTAGCTGAAAGAGGGTAGTAGACGCTTTAGCCTAATTGTGCTCAAATCAGTGTGTTTTACTGTGAACTTTCGGTGTGTCCCCTTTGTCACATGAGTGTGTACTTCAGTTGTTGCCCACCTCATTGGTTTGACCGTGAGGTGGCGGTTCCGGGTCCACCTTTGTTGGACCTGGTTGTCCAAGAGAGTTGGACTGGGGTGAGGGGTCTATACCAGGTTTTTAATTTGGCACTGTGTGGTAGGTTGGCCGTTGGGGCTGGCCTGCGCACCAGGGGTCTGTTGATGCAATTGTGTTATTTGGCTGTTTTTTACCTGTTGTGGTGGTTGTTTGTGGACAACCTTTGTGTCCGCTATGTGGGTGGGGCCCGGTGCTGTTTGTGGATGAGCGCTGGCTTTATGCCCTGTGTGTGCCTGTTTTTTAGTGGTGTTGGACTTGGGTGTAGGCCCTGGTTGGCTTACGTGTGTTTTACGCGCTGGTGGGCGGGGGCGCTTCTTTAGTTTAGAATGTTTACCAACAAACTGTGACTGAGGGCGCCCTCCGGTGGTTTGTTGGGGATCTCATGTGTGAATACTTTGGGCTCTGGCTCCGAGTCCTAGCTGCCGCATGTTTTGTGTAAAGGGCATGCAGTCACAATTAGGAGAAGGCTGAGGCTGGGGTGGAGGTTTTGGATGAAAAGGGCTTTAATGTGTTTGTCCTCTCCACTTTTTTTGGTAATTTTGGTTACGAAGTATGCCTGTCGCAGTCTGTGATAGTAAGCATCTGACGGCTCGGTAAGGGCTGTCTGACGGTTAGGGCTGCAGTGAGTGTACCAGACGTCCCAAGTCAGAGTATTCGTCGAGGAGGGGCCTGAACAGAGAATGTCATTAGTTTACGCCGTGTGGCGGGTCGTTGTCTGTCACATAAAGTTATTAACTTCCCTGTTAGACGTAAGGCTTAATTAAGAATACTTTGTTCTTTTAGAGATGCATTGAGCAAACACGTTTAGGAGTAGAAGTCAATGTCTCTGAGTGTACGACTGGGGGTCTGCAGGGTTTCCCGGTTGGGGTTCAAAAGCGGTAAGTGGCGAGCAATGCGGTCCACATGTCACGTTTGGTGGTCCGGTGTAGACTCCGCCCTTTGTATTGGCCCATGCATTTGGCGCTCGCGGTGGAGGCGGGAGTTGGGCTATAGGGGTACGTCTCCTATAGTCTTGGCAGTCTGTCGGCTAGTGGGCGGTACGGGTCTTACATCGGGGAAGTATGGGTACCTGGGGCTCTGGGAGCGGTCACTGTAAGAGTCTTGTCTGTTTGTGACTTAGTGGGTCCCTGGGGCTTCCTCGGCAAGTAGAATAACGCCAGTTGCGCGTTGACCGTGGTAGTCAGGTGGGTCCGGTTCCTATTGTCTGGTGGTTCCGGTCTGTTACTGTATCTCTGACTAGGTGGGCAGTCATGGGTCGTAGTTTGACCTGGTCCAGTTGGGTACCTACATTTATGTCGGGACCGTGTTGGTCGTTAGGGCCTGTATTGGCCCAGAGTCCCGCGGTCGTTGGTTTTCCTGCACGTGCGAGATTCACGTCTTATCTGTGGGAGGTCTTCAGATTCGACCTCAGCAATTTCCTTCGGGTTTAGTCCTGGCGGTGCTCTGGTCCACCGTTTGTGGGGGGCTATAAAAGTAGTCCTCTTTTGGGCTGTTAGTGAGGAGACTTACCTGTTGCGGCCAGGTGTCTTACCTCGGTTGAGGGTTGGTCCGTGTCCTGGGTGAGGCGGAGCGTTGAGGGCCGACTGGGTGAGGACTCTGCACGGAGCACTGTGTCGGGTTTCTCGACTGGGGCTGGCCTGAGATGGGGGCCTGGAAGTATCTCTGGCCAGGGGAGTCCAGAGTGTGTGTCTCTGGGTCGCTAGTGGAGGTGGGGTTGTTGTACAGCTAGGGCTGGTGTCCCCCATTGTTCTCAAGGCATTGTTCCTTGAGGTGCGCGGACAGTTTTATAAGTTTCAGTAACTCACATTGCAATAGAATCCCTTTCCTTTCTATGGTTTGGATCTTTTCCTGGATGATACTAGCTTTAGCATCTCTTTCTTGCAGATACTGCTGGGAAAGTATGCTAATTTACCCAGCCAATGGGGTTTTGGAACAGGTTCTTACCTTCAAGTGTATTTGTCATGGCGTCAGTCTCCAGGTCTCGAGCGGCCTGACTATAGTGTCGGGGGCCGTTGCCTCTATCAAAACTGGTTCCAGTCCCTGGAATCAATTAGCGCAAAGGTTTCGTAAAAGGTTAATTACAAGATCCTTTGGTTTAGGTTTGGCTCTGAAGTTACACAGAAAGGGTCTGGAGGGCTCCAGGCTCTTCCATGTGGGGTGACAGTGTGATGTGTTTTTTGTTGTGTGTGTGATTTTGAGCAGTATAGGTATCTTTTGGGTAGTGCAGAACAGGTTCGAACAGTTTTAGACAGCGTGGGAGAGAGCGGATTAAACAGCAGTGGTTTGATGTTGTGTGTGGTTGTGTTTAGAGGCGTCAGTCCTGGGGCAGTTGGTTTGCGTCAGGAATAGCTTGTCATATCACACAGCTTTGTCAGTTGTTAGCTTGTTAGTAGTTTTAGCCAGTGGTACATGCAATGATTAGGGTTGTAGATAGCATGCACATTGAGCTTTAGTTGCTAGCTGGTTGGTTGCACCGGTGCGAGTGGTTAGCTGTCAGAGTGCTAGCTGGTTGGCTGTGGATAGGCCTGCGCGCTGTTAGCTGGGTAGCCACTGGGTTTGTGTAGCGTGTTAACTGGTAGCTGAGGCTAGCCATGCGCACTGCTATTGCCTGTAGCGTGTAGCTGTGGGTGGCCTGCGCAACTGTGCGTAGCTGGTAGCGTGCTAGCTGGTGGCTTGTTGGTAGTCTGCGCACTTTGGTTAGCTGTTAGAGTGTAGCTGTAGCTGAGGGTAGCTGCGCACTGTTATTGGCTGTAGCGTACTAGCCTGTGGGATAGCCTGTGCACTGGTTAGGCTCTTCGGTGCTAGCTGGTAGTAGCTGTGGGTAGCTCGCTGCGCCAATGTGGTTAGATGATAGGCGAGCTAGCTGTTAGATGCAGGGTAGCATGCGCACTGTTATTGGCTGTAGCGTACTGGCTGTGGGTAGCTGTATAGCATGCTAGCTGTGGATAGCTCTGCGCCACTGTGGTTAGATGATAGCGTCTAGCTGTTAGTGAGGGTAGCCTGCGCACTGTTATGGGCTGATAGCGTACTAGCAGGGATAGCCCATGGGGCACTGGGTAGCTATTCGCGGCTAGCTGGTAGCTGTGGGTAGCCTGCGCACTGTGGTCTACGCTGATAGCGTGCTAGCTGTTAGCCTGAGGGTGCTGCGCACTGTTATGGCTGTAGCGTATGGCTGTGAATAGCCTGCGCATGTTGGTAACCTGCGCACTGTGGTAGTGTTAGCGTTGCTAGCTGTGGATATGCCTGCGAAACTGTGGGTTAGTGATAGCGTGCTAGATGTTAGTGAGGGTGCTTGGCACTGTGGTTAGCTGTTTAGCGTGCTAGATGGTAACATGTTGAGTAAGCCTGCGAGTGAGCATGTGGTTAGCTGTTAGATGTGCTAGTGGTAGCTGAGGGTAGCCTGCGAGTGCGCAACTGTGGTTAGTGTTGCGTGCTAGCTGGTAGCTGAGGGTTAGGCTGCGCTACTGTGGGTAGCAGCGGTGCTTTGTATGCAAGAGTCAAGCAGTTAGGCACCGGTTGTAACGCCGAGATTCACTGTCTTGAAGAGATGCCTGCCTCAGCTGTTTATGGTAATGCAAACACTGTGCATGCGCGACTTCGACGCAAACCGAAGCATTACCAAGATGGCGGACCGTGAATCTGCTTTAAAAGTTGAAATACGAACGATTTAACGACACGAAGGTCACTTTTTAATGCAATGTGGAGAGAGATGTGGTTGGTTCGTTTTGTCACATGTGGGTTTTAAGAGTCCAAAGTTTGTGCAAATTTTAGTGTAAGCAGACAAAAATGCGTTGTGAACCACAAAGCTAATGTTTGCATAGCAGTCCGCCGGCTGCTGCCGTAGCTGATGACTCGTATGTGGCCACTCTACACTCTTACACTGGTCTGTCGGGTTGATTATGGGAACTAATACATTTCATTCAATACAAGTATCGTACTGTATTTAATATGGATTAACAATAGTGTGTTCAAACACAAATATTTAATTAGATTGATTTTTTTCCCATTTTCCATTATCAACCCGACAGATGTGTAAGAGTAGTAGAGTGGTCACACAGACGCGTCATCAGCCTACGTCAGCAGCGCCGGATTGCTATGAAAAAATTTGCTTTGTGGTTTCACAGGCGCAGTTGACTGCTTAAACTAAACTTTGCACGAAACTTTGGACTCTTAAAACACCCACATGTGACAAAAAACGGCAGCCCCCGACATCAACATCTCGCCTCTTAATTGCATTAAAAGTGACCATTCGTGTCTTAATTCGTTCGTATTGCTAACTTTTAGCAATTCAGGGTCCGCCATCATGTTTATGCTTCGGCTTGCGTGAGACGAGCATGCACAGGTTTGCATTAACATCATAAACAGCTGAGGCTGGTGCATCTCTTCGAAGACATGTATCTCGGCGTTACACGGCGTTAGCATGGGTAGAGGAAGAGTTAGCCTGGGAGCAGGGAGTTAGCATGAGCAAGTTAGCTGTTAGCGTTTAGGCACGTTAAGTGTTAGCAGAAGCAGAGGTTAAGCTCATAGCATAGTTTAGCTTTTCGCAGTGTTAAGGTTAGTACAATAACAGTGTTTAGCCTGGCCAGTGAATAGCTTGTTGCCGTGTAGCACAACCAGAGGTTTAGAATTTAGCACAACAGCCAGAGTTTGCATCAACACATTCATCAGCACAACGTAAAACCACACATCAGTCGTGTTAAGGGGCGTTCACCACCGGACTAACTTTCGGCGACAAAAGCGTCAGGTTTGCATGAAAAGTGAATGGTGAAGCGCGTCAGGTGAAGCCGAGGGGCCCCGGCGTCACTTGTGCGCGCGTCAAAAGATTCAAAGGTGGCGTAATACGCGCTCACTTGGAAGCTTTTGACGCGCGAATCGCTCGCGTATCACAACAATCCCTTTGACGCCGAAGCTGAGCAAAGCTGAGCTTTTGATGCTTTGAGCGGGCTTCAACCAATCAGGAGACAGGGTTTCGCGCTCTCCGATGAAGACGGTGGGATAGGCGGGAAACTAAAATCATTCGAGAACATGGAGGAGAGCTTAATCGTGGCGATTAGCTCTCGCCCAGGCTTTTTTTTTTTATACGCTGTTTCCAGCCCGCTATACAGGGGAAAGGAAGAGAAAGGACCTTGCTTGGAGGAGGATAAGCGAGGAGATCGGGTACTGATGGTTAAGTTATGTAAAGATTTCAAATCTGTATTCAATGTTTAGTAAACTCCGGTCAGGAGTCGTACAATGTACAGTCGCTATGATTTCTGTTCCCGCTCACATGTCCATTTGTTCATATAGGAGGAAAGAAATTCAAAAAGAGGTGGAAAAGTGAGGGACAGGTTCATGAGAGTGAAGGAAGGTTGAGGAGTGGAGGTGGATTGGTTGCAAGCAGCAGGGACCAGTGCAGAGGTGGCGGTACTTTGGAGCGCTCTCTTCCTTAGAGCCCTACGTAACACGAGGCCATCTACTGGTAACTTGACAGCACAACACGGGCCGAGGAGGAGAGTGCTTCCAGCCACCTCCAAGAGGAAGAACCAGCAGCACGCGGAGGTGTCAGTTGCAGGAGGTCTGTAGCTAAAACAATGTATTGAATGAAGTCATGCAGCTGCCCACTTAAACTGTTTTTTGTCCAGTGTTTATAGCAAGGTTATTTATGGTGTATTAAAGTTTCTTAATAAGCAACTGGCAAAAATAAATGTACATTATTGCTGTAAATAATGTCAGATGTAGGTGTGTAGCTAAAACAATGTATGGATAAGAAGTCATTGCAGCTGCCCACTAACTGTTTTGTTTTGTCATTTTTGTTTTTATAGCAAGGTTATTTATATGAGTATAACGTTCTTTAAAATGTTTGTAACACGTGCGGTGAAGTGAAGTAATTTATTTAATAACAGTAGGACGCTGATACGGAGTCAAGTTCAGAGCAGAGCCGAGTGCTGGACCGTCCTCGGCCTCTGGACAGTTCTCGGCTCCTGGGGACCGTCCTTAGGGTATGGACGGTCCTCGGCTCCTGGACCGTCCTCTGCTGCTGGTTCTTGCCTCTGCTGCTGGTTCTTCTCTCTGCCGTCGTTCCCTGCTGCTGCACCCTAAGGTGTGTTGGAAATCAATTTTTTGTTCGTGAATGTATAAACGTTATATTAATGCAGCAGTAAGCGATCTTTGTCGATTTGTCGTTTCCGGCAGTTTCTTCTGCCTGAGCGAGTTAGAAGCCCGCCCCCCCAACCCCCCCCCCGTCTCCTACGTCACACCAACTTGAACGGCGCATCGTCTTGGTGATGGCTTCTGCATGTTCATCTCCGTCAGGTCTACTCGTAAGTATATTAACAACAAACTCTGGGAGTGAAATATTAGCATAGAATAGCTCAGTTGTAACCTAAGCTATAACTGGAAGCAGCTTGGTGTTGCATCTCACTAAGAAAGAGATAAAAGCAGTGCTTTCTCAATGTCACAACATAACACACAACAAAGCTGTTAATAAATTGATACATTTACATTGATGTAATCAACATCTGTATTATGTCTGTATTATGTGCTTATTGTTCAGAGAATGAAGACAAAATCAAAGTGTATCAGAGCTGTACAGTGAGATGTGGGACTGAAAAACAATTCCAGTAAAGCTTGTCCGAAACGCAAAAGTACTGTCATAACTAATTACGTTACACTGACTATTACACTGTAAGGAAACTCACCACTTTGAAAGAAAAGCTACAAGTAACAGAATATATAAAGTCATTTGTCATAACGGTTCTTTCAGGAA